CGCACCAATCAAATCAAATAAGCTTATCAGATATCTCATCATAAGTGGTAGATCTATGGTGTGGGAAGAATCAATGAATAGTATTAGAAGAATTTGTGATTTACACAAGATATTGGTATGGAAAGGAAAGACTTGATTGTTGCAAGCTTACTTAGACCATCTGTTTAACGAGAGTTGCTTATAAACAATCTCTGTGTCACATCAATTCTGACCCATTTTATGGATTGTTTAAATTTTAGTAGAGTTATTTCTATAAGTAACTTTACTAAAATTTAAGTAATCCATAAAATGGGTCAAAGCTAATAAGACAATAATGTGACACAGGAATTGCTTATAAACAACCTCTTTAGAGATATTCTTAGGTAGCCCACGGCGTGTCAACTTCCTCCTAAAGTGCGGAGACTGACTCTTTAAAGCGTGACACAGTGATTTCAATGGCCCAATTTGTAGCCCAAGACACGTACTGTGTTTTTTAGCCACGTGCACGTGATTCACTCACATTTTACAATCAAATCAATTTCACCCACCATAACGCATGTAATATTATTTCTATAGAATTTTTTATTTCTTATCACATTAGGAAGGGTCTTTTTATCGTTAGGAAAAAAATGTATATCCTTAGGCTTGAATTTGTAAGATTTTATCTTAAACAATTCAAATGATGGACTTAGTTTAATTAATACTATTGTATTTTATCCCCTTTTTGTCATTATAAATATAACATGAAAATAGAAGGGTCTTTTATTTTATATTTTTACTAATAATTTTAAAATTGTTCGTTATTTTTATTTTTTTCATTTCTTAAAGATTTTTTCTAGGAGAATGTAAAACTATTATTTTCACCAATTTTATACAACAAAAAATAATGAAAGCTTAGAATATGACGTTTTATAATTATCAATAAAAAATAGGAAATAAGCTATTTTTTAAAATGCAAAAATATGCTATGATATTTGAACACATATAAAAACAAAATGGCGTAATTTGAATATTGAGTGTGGTGAAATTTAGTTGTACATGAAATAACATTTGATTTTTCGTTGTTTATATTCAAAATTAAGTTACGAATTGTCCTGGTCTAGTTTTCGACTTGTTACTCATAAATCTCCATGTGGGTTGCTAATGGTGTTGGTAAAAATGTGAGGATTATTTATATAGGAAGGCATTCAGTGCACAAATGAAGCAGGTGTAGGACTTTGATACCTGAGCTAAGAGGTTCTAAATTAAATTACGGTAAGTTATGTTTCTTACAATGTTCTAAATTTAAACATTATTATTAATATTGTAATTTTTACTGAAACAAAATGTTATACTTTAACATAAGGAATGTACGTATAACAATCCATTAATAAATTAAATTTGGAACTAAACTTTTTGTACATGTGGTTATATTTTATCATAATTTTAATTATTCTTCTTTTAAACATTTAATTGTAAAAGTATAATTATTTGTTTTAAAGATGTTAGGTCCATTAGAAGTAATATATATATATATATATATATATATATATATATATATATATATATATAAGATATTTCTATAACTACTT